CGTTGTCTTCTTTTTTTTTACTTCTCCTAACCGCCTGCCACTAGCCCGATCGGCTCGACCGACCATCTTTCGTCAATTGTCCAGCACGGCCTGATTGACCATTTCTTGTCAATTTGTTGTCTATGTTGGTTCGATCAACCACCTCCGTTGGCTTGACTGATCAACAACCACCGGCTCAATTGGCTCGATTGACTATCATCCATCAATTGGACACCCCTATTCGATCAATTATTCCTCGTTGATTATCGCATACGCCAGCTCGATCAATTGGCCGCCATGGGTTTGATCGGCTTGATCAACCATTCTTTGTTGAACGGGCATCACGAACTGATCAATCGTCCCTCATAGATTGGTTGCCTACGCCCGCTTGATCGATCACCTCTGGTTGTTCGATCGATCGGTCGTAACCGATTCAATATGCCCGATCAACCAACCCAACCCGATCGAACGTCCCCCGTCAATAGATTTCTCATGCCGGTCTGATCTAACACCTCCATCGTTTTGACTGATCGGCCTCCACCGATCTGATTGGCTTGATCGACCTTTTTTTCTCGGTTTGATCGGCTCCACCGACCATTCTTCATTGATTGTCCACCCTGCCTCGAACAATTGTTCCTCATCGATCAGCCACCCATGTTGGCTCTACCAACCACCTCTATCGCTTCAACCGATCAACCTTCATCAACCTGATCATGTTGATCGACTGCACTTGAATGTCATATATTGCATGTTCGCTTCTACTTCTTGCATGAACACATCGTACTATGCACACTGTTGTGCATGTGTATGTTGTGCTAAGATTCCAAGTGTTCTACGAGATGCCAATCAGGCTTTTCATTCCTTAGGACCTATTTTAAAAATATAAAAAATTTTGTTTTTTATTAATTATATACATCATATTTTAGCAAATCTATTATGAAACTATTGCATATATTATAGACCATACATAAGGTCTACCCTTTAAAGCTTTTGTTCATACAAAAACTTGCATTTAGTGACACCTCTTAAAATCCTTGGATCCTTAGGATGGGGCCAAGGACGACGACCACGTCAAAAATATACGCTAGCATTTTACCTTTACCCTGCACTCACTTAGAGGTTGTGACTAGATCACAATATGCTTGTTGGTGTGCTAGGTTAGGACTAGTGTGTTAGGCAGTATTTTTGATGTCATGGTTGTAGTTATCTACTGGTTTGGTTGCTCTAGTCAGACATCACATATTGTGTTTTTTGTGTGTTTAGAGGTTGTGACGTGCACACTCGTATGTTAAGGGTGGTCTTCATGCAAGGATACATGTCAAAAAAGAAGGAGCTGTAATAATTCACACTAAAGCATTTTTTGCATGTTGCTTAACTCTCCTTCCACTAGGCATGATCCATTAGGTTGCATGCCTATAACCTATGTTAACCCTGATGTTTTACATGCCGAGTCTTTTTTTACTTTCACTATGTACTTATTAGAGTCCCTAAGATTAAGTCATGTATTAGAATTAAAGTGCAAGCATGGGTTCTGAGGCGTCAAACCGACAGAATCCCATGATGGGGACCAAGAGTTGTAAGCTCGATTTCTGCACCTTAATTTTGATTTTTCATTTATGCATAGAATTATGGTTTGTGTTTATATGTGGTGTTTGGCCACCTTTTTCTTTTCTAGGGTATGTTGTTGAACCAACGACATCGACTTTTATTTATTATATTTGGCGTGTTTACTTTCTCCAGTGTGATTGATTTATCTTTGTCGTTATTTGCTTATGGATTGCCTGAGAATCATGTGAATATAACTGAGGTTCTTTAAGGACCTAAAATTATGAAAGTCTCTACAAAAATTCTAATAAATGATTAGGACTAATCAAAAATTAAGATTAAATCACTTCACAATTTTTCAAAATATCTTTACTTTCTTGCATGACTTTCGGGCTGAATTTTAAATAGGTTTCACATCATGGCACTCTCCCAGGTCATACTAATAGGGCATCCCTGCTTAGGATTAGATAACTGCATCATTTGGATGTCCTGAGGAGAAGACCAAGAGCTTCTCCAACCCTACTGGCTCAGCATAGATTTCTACTTAGGTGGTTTCTTAGTGTGTTTAAGGTGTTAGAGGCTTCTCCGACCTAGACGGGGAGTAAGCTTTGTGTGAGAGCATTACGACTTCATAAATGTACCTCTCTTCTCTGTCAACTCCAGAAGATTCCTCACCACTTTGTTAGATATAAGTCTCACCTCTACTTTCCACCTACATAGGGTCATAGGATTAGAGTTTCCTTCTCTTGACCTTAGAGCTATCGATGTCTCTTTGGACAACGTAATTCAAGGGATCTTTGATTGTGTAGGGTCGACTACCTAGACTTAGGGTTCTAACAGCTTGGGATGACAGATCTATGATATCTTGACCCGACTATCTCAACCCGATTAAGATTAATATACAATTCCCTTACTTACCCACTTTGACATGTTGTTCCTTTGACACTACATCGATGTCGTCTCATAGGCCCCGATTGTAGATAGGATGTTTCCCATTGGGATACGATGATTCAACCTCTACCCTTATGGTCCGATTAGGCCTTGGAAGCATAGTGTGGTCCCTACGGGATGACCCAGTTATCTCACGGGCTCTATTTGCCAATGAATCATTACCCATTTTGGACCGTGAGAGATTCACCCTGTCTTGTGGCTTAGCGAGAGATAGCAAGGCATCGGGGCGCTCCTA